ACCACCAAGCCTCCCGGGGGTCCTGCGCCCAAGGCAGCGCCTGGATGGGACGGCAGGGGCTGAGGCTACATCAATGCCGGTTTTATCGGTGGATAGTATGACTGTTAGCACGAACCCAAGCTTGCTGCAGTGATGATCTACCAAGGAATGTGGTTTCTAGCATAAAATATTATGAAGTACAGCCACCACAACAAAAAAGTAAAAACTGGCAATCCCTCCTAACTCTTCCTCAAGAAATATCCCCCAAACCACTGCTTATCTAATTTTTCTTCTTGTTTGTATCAACACATGGTTTAAACAAGATAGGATCCCATCACATGCACTGGTTCACACCTGTCACACTTACTTCCGTTCAAAAACGCATCATGGCTGTCCTTCTGCCAAGGCACAGATTACCCCCAAAGGAGCTAAACTATGTACACTCCCCAACATCCGAGTATGCCTGCCCCTCTCACCCTCGATAACCGGAACGGTCACGTTTATTTTTCCCAATCTGCAGGGCAGGCAGCTCTTTGATCATCAGTGAAACAAACCCCGCCTTGCTCTCTGGCCACTTGAGTTTCTTAAGTGAGGACTGGCCTGCTCACAGTCTCTGCCCACTGCTCCACCAGGGCGCTTCAGCACACATTTAAGACAAAGCAAGATCCACAGCTGGGCTACAAAAAGTGCAACAAACAGAAGGAAGTACGACTCTAAGTGAAGGTCCAATAGCTGAATTCTAGAAAGAGAAGGAAAGTGAATGGGAAGAAGCCAAGCCATAAATCAAGGAAAATGCCCAGCTTTGAAGAATAGAAGCTCCTAAATCAAAGAGCCCAAAGGACAGGCAAGGCATTAGATGAAACCAGACTCCAGGGGACGTCACTGTGCTGGGTATTTTGAATTTCAGAGAAAACCCTTTAAGCGTCAAAGAAGAAACAGTCACATACAAAGGCTCAGGAACCAAAACAGCTTAATGCTTCCAGGGCAACAGCACAAGACAGAAAACAGAAGCAAAAATGGTGTCCGAACTCCCACTCAGGGCCAAAGGAAGCTCTTCAGACATCCAGGTCCTCAAAATTTTACCTCCCATGAATCTTTCCCCAGGCAACTCCGTGAGGAAGTGCGCCATCAGAATGAGAGGGCAAAAAAATCAAGAAAAAGAGAAGGGTTCCAGGAAACAGAGGGCAGTGAGATTCGCAGCGAGATTCCAGCAGAACGGAGACCTGGGAGAGGTGTGGTCAGGATGAAATTAGTAAAATACTGAACTTGATCAGATCAAATAGTTTAATTTCCTGAAAGCAATTTTAGACAACTGGTGAATTGGGGGTTGAATTTAGTGACAAACACACAGAAAACAACAGAAAAACAAAGACTCATGAGAACTTGAGGGAAAACAGACTTACCCAGGAAAGGAAAAGTAACCCCATCACACCACTCGGCCTAGCTGGGAATGGCACCACACAGTCATAAGAGACACTACAGACTGAACGAGCAAATCAAACGTGCACCTGCTTTGGGCAGCCATGGATCTGTCTGCACAGAGAAGGCAGAGGGGCGAAAGAAAGCGAGAAACTTCACATCTCCACTCGGAGTCAAGAGACAATGTGTGAAAAGGGAAGGAAGAGCAATAAGTGAGCAAGTCAGGCTCAGACGCCAGAACTGGGAGCAAAGACCAAAGGCATCAGCCAGGAGGCAAGTGTGGGTGTTCTGCAGGAGAGGAAACGTGACTGTAGGAAGGAAACTAGTTTTTCTTCCTTACAAGCATTTCCAGATTTGTTTGACCTTTTAAAAACTATACGAAAATATAAACTTGATTTGAAGTAAAATTAATTTTTAATTTAAAAATTCACATGAATGCCAATAAAAAATATCACGGGAGAGCACAGCCAGTGCATTGTTAACAAATTAAGAGCAGCGTCAAGATGACGAATGCAACACGATGCCCAGACAAGTCTGGCGTGTCCTAGCTGTCCTCGAGGAACTTTACTACGCCTGGCCCAACAACAGCTGACCAGGGGCATCACTTCTGAAATCTGATTCTGGAAATACAAAAAGGAGAAAAAGAGAAGGTAGAAAATCTTACTCTAGCCCAAAATAGTTTGTGTAATCAATTTAAAAATACACATTAAAAAAAAGTTTTGTTCTTTTCTTTCCCGACACATTGAGGTTCTCTGGCTGTCTTTCTATACTTGGTCAAAAGTTTTACAACATTCATCTTGGACTTTTTGCCACCATAACTCAGCAACTGAATGTCCAGCTGTGCGCTATGTTTCTTCCAGGAGCTTGGTTGTTTCTTAATAGAAGAGGGAAATAACTTTCTATGACCACTAGCCTGTGAGATGGATGTATGCTGAATGGGCCACACCAAACATAAGCTCCACTCAGTACCTTAAAAGGTGTTCTCTATGACCCAGGAATCCCACTCCTGGGCTTGTACCCAGAAGGAAATCTACTTCAGGATGACACCTGCACTCCAACGTTCATAGCAGCACTATTTACAATAGCCAAAACATGGAAACAGCCTAAATGTCCATCAACAGGTGACTGGATAAAGAAGATGTGGTATATTTATACAATGGAATACTACTCAGCCATAAAAACTGACAACATAATGCCATTTGCAGCAACATGGATGCTCCTGGAGACTGTCATTCTAAGTGAAGTAAGCCAGAAAGAGAAAGAAAAATACCATATGAGATCGCTCATATGTGGAACCTAAAGACTCATTGACAGAGAATACAGACTTGTGGTTACCAGGGGGGTAGAGGGTGGGAAGGGATAGACTGGGATTTCAAAATTGTAGAATAGATAAACAAGATTACACTGTATAGCACAGGGAAATATACACAAA